ATTCCGCCTCTTCCGTGATACCTAGTGACGTCTTACTCAGGTATATTCGCATGACGGATCTTACTCAGGTACGCCCGTGAAACGTCCGTAAATGTCGTTACACCCGTAAAATGTTTGCTACACGTATATAAAGTCAACAGATTTTCCAAAAAATCCTATAATCGACTGCAATATTATAGGAAGAAAAACCGCGAGCATGCGCACAAACTCACTCACGCTCACGATGATATTAAACTAGTAACGGTGAATTCATCTCGTGACCGTCTCATCGAACGAAGAAGAATTAATAAAAGAACAAGAATCGAAAGGTGACCGTGGGATTAGAACAGCGCGCACGCAATGCACGGAACGAAGAAGAATCAATAAAAGAAGAAGAATTTTAAGGAGAAGAAGGTGACCGTGAGGATTAGACAACGCGCAGGCGATGCGTAACCCTATAACGACGGCTGCAGTTGTAATCCGTCTGATGCTACGTTACCGACTGCTCGCAGCACGAGGAGGCTATTAACGTAATCAGCTCACTCGACTAATTGTGATTAATAATGATATCTGCGTTATCTCTGTGCCGCCAATCCTCGCATGCCCCTCCCCCCGAGAGTGAGGTAAGAATATCTCTCGTTTCAAGTTAACATTACGAAAGGTTCTCTCCGTGTGTCTAGATTATATTCAACATTGTTTCCGTCTAGAGAGAGACAGAGAGATAGAGAGAGAGAGAGAGAAGAGAAGAAGAGAGAGGAGAGAGAGAGAGAGAGAGGAGAGAACGGAGGAGAGGAAGTAGCGAGAATAAGATAGATAGATAGATAGATATGATAGAGAGAGAGAGGAAGGAGAGAGAGAGAGTAGAGAGAGAGAGAGACGGAGGAGGAGAGAGAGGAGAGATGAGAGAGTGTAGAGAGAGAGATAGAGAGAGAGAGAGAGAGAGACGAGAGAGAGAGAGATTGAGAGCGAGACGAGAGAGAGAAGAGAGGAGAGAGAGGATGAAGAGAGGAGACGAGAGAGAGAGAGAAGAGAGACGAGAGAGAGAGCAGAGAGAGAGAGGAGAGAGAGAGAGAGAGAGAGAGAGAGAAGAGAGAGAGAGAGAGATAGAGAGAGATGAGAGAGAGAGAGGAGAGAGAAGAACGAGAGAGAAGATCGGAAGAGAGAGAGGAGAGAGAGAAGAGAGAGAGAGAGAGAGAGAGAGAGAGACGAGAGAGAGAGAGAGAGAGAGCAGAAGAGAACGAGAGAGAGAGAGAGAGAGAAGAGAGAGAGACGAGAGAGAGATGTAGAGAGAGAGTAGAGAGAGAAGAGAGAGAAGAGAGAGAGAAAGAGATGGCAAGAGAGAGAGAGATATAAAGTATATATATATATATTATATATAAGATGAGAGAGAGAGAGAGAGAGAGAGAAGAGAGAGGGAGAAGAGATGAGAGAAAGAAAAAGTGAGGCGAGGGAGGAAAGGGAGGGACGGAGAGAAGAGAGAGAGAGAAGAGAGAAAGAGAGAGAGAGGCGAGGTCAGCGAGAGAGAGAGAGAGAGAGAGAGGAAAGAGAA